ATACTAAACAAAAAAAACAAAAAACATCTTGAAGTGATATATTATAAGCTTGTGTGGAAAACGTCAACCAGAGAATCGGATTTCATTATATGAAGGTGTGAGGTTTAGATGAAGGTATATACTATTTTAATTCTAATTCAGCGTCAAACCACATAATTTTTAAGAAAACTTATCCACTTAATTGCATTAAAATATCACATTTAGATCAACCGGAACGGTTTAAAGTCAAGAGGAAAGACGGATATATAGAGAAAGATATTAATTTTTACATTGCTCAGCTATACTTGAGCATAGAGAACATATTTTGAAGCAATTTTATATAGAAAAAAATTTTAATACTCACTGACCGACATACGAGAAGTTTTATAAGTAGTATATGGAAGTAGAGGGTAGCATTAACCCGATTTTATCAATTTTGGCCAAAACTACATACTACTAACATGCCACAGACTCATAAAATGCTCCTACTGTTGCATTAAGGTACCTCACATACCATCACAAATCATATGGAGTAAAGTCAGACAATTGTTCGAAAATCCTGATATTAGTTACATGGGGACCAGGTAAAATTTTTACTCGATTTCATCCATTTTAGGCGCAAAATACCTTGTTATGAGTAAAACACGCTCTGCAATTTTCATTGAGATAACTCATGTATTGGCCGATATACAAGGTGCGTTCCAAAGTAAACAGTAAAAAAGTAACAAAGTAAACTCTAGTGGCGCCATCTATATGTCGACTAGAGCGATTCTGCTACCGTTTATCGACTTCCAGTAAAAATTTCATGACATTTCATCTATTGGAAGTGAAGTTATTGCGTTTTAAGTGTCAGTATGTTTTTGTCATCGGTGCGAAAATGAGCTTCCAACAAAGAGCCAAAATTAAATTTTGTTTTAAAATTGGTAAAACTTTTACCGAAACGTTTCAATTGATGAGTGCTTTCAACGTTTTCAAAGTGGTCGTGGGGACATAAATGAGAAATGCGCCGAAACCCAAAAAATCGCGCCTGGAGAAGTCAAAAGTAAAGACAATGCTGATTTGTTTTTATGATTCCAAGGGTATTGTCCGCAAAGAATTTGTTCCACCCGGCCAAAACGTTATTGCGGTATTTTACTTTGGAGTTTTGAAGCGTTTGGTGCGCCGTATTCGAAATTAAATTTGGCACCGTGCGATTTCTACCTTTTCGGAAAAATGCATTTGCCGATGAAAGGAAAGCGTTATGCAGACGTGGAGGCCATTTAAAAGGTTTCCCCGGCATACTGGCGGCCATACCGGGCAACGAGCTAAAACACTCGTTCGACATGCTTTTGGACCGTGCAAAAAGTTGTATTAAAGAAGAAGGAGACTGTTTTGAATAAATTTAATTGATTTTGCTGATAAAACCATTTGTTCTGTCTTTTTTTTTGAAAGTCCTGTTTACTTTGGTACGCACCTTGTATAAAGTCACCCGGAAGTTCAAAAATCTTTATATTAGGTATATGAGGGTTATAGGAAGTATTGATTCAATTGAACCCATTTTTTGACATAAACATACTATTATCGAAAGTTTTATTTATTTATTTTATTATATGAATTTCAATTAAATGTCTTACACATTGACCGCTATTTTCGGTAAAAAGGCAACTATAGGCACTGGGGTCAACAAATTCAGTACCTAGGGACTTGAATAGTTTAGGTTCGATTTAGACAATTTTGGTCACAAGGTGGCATACTTCAAACGGATTATTCACGCAAAGTTTTACCCCGATACAATCATTGTTGTTTGATTTGCATAGTGGAAAGTGAAAAAATCAAATGGAATTTAAAAATTAATGACATATCTAATTTTTTATAATGTTCAAAAATGACTTTGCGTGTAAAAGTTTGCAGCTGATCAATATTAAATAAAAATCCGAAAGGTTTAGTAATTTGTTTCAACTGATCGTATCTTTCATCGATTGAAGATAATGCATTATCTATAATGGTAAAGTAGAAATTAGTTTTAGAATTTTTTTAGCATGGCGAATTGGCTCCTCTTCCCCCTCATATTTGAACTGCCTTTTCTGTGTTCTCAAGCGAACTGTTACCCTTTCTGATTCGAATGTATATTTTCCAAGTGGTTGGAAGCTAGATTCGAATTCTATCTGATAATAAGAAAAAATAGAAAATTAAAGGCAGGGGACATTCCCGTTACAATTAAGAGACACTTACTTGGAGAAAAAAAAATTTGTGATTTGGCAACCTAGTGTTGCAAACTGGCAACTCACAATTTTATCATAAAGTTTGACATTTTTGATGTTTTACATACTCAGAACGTTTTGACATACGAACGTTATTTGTGTTGTTTATAGTAACTTAAAATATTCATCTCGGCAAAAAAAAGGAATTAAACCGAAACATTTATGCGCGATTATTTTTTAAAACTTTCTACCTGGATTAACTCAGCATCACTGCAGTGATAAACTTTATTAAATTTTTGGCGATACCACAACCACAATATGAACAACAAGTAGATTCAGAACAGTAAATTCTGAGTGGTACACAACCATTTGTTTGCCAGTTGTCTTTCAACAAATCAGGAAAACCAAGAGCCGAAGAGGAATCACTCTTCACCACGACAATGCGAGCTCTCATACGTTGACTGAAACTGCATTTTTGAGCACTCAAAACATCGATTTTATGAGTCATTCACCGTCTAGTTCTGACTTGTCACCGAATGAATTTTTTTTATTCCTGTACGTAAAAAAAAATAAAAGGTCGACGACACCTGAAGAGGCGGTTGAAGCGTTTATAACGCATGTTGTGGTGATACCTCAATCAGAGTGACAAAAGTGCTCAGACAATTGGTTCAAACGCATGCAAAAGTGTATACATACATAGATCTTAATGGAGAATATTTTGAGAAACAATAAAGCGATTTTCTATGATTAATATTTGTTTTTGTTCTCTAATCGCAAAGTATGAAAGGCAAACTTCGTATTCAAATTTTTTTTCTTTATTTACACTAATGAAATATTGCATTATTAATAGTTAAACGTTAAAAAGTTTTTCAGGAAACTTTTATGAAAGGGAAGTAAATTATTGTACTACAAATTATTGGGCCAAATTTGTTTAAAGGTACTGGCTGTACCCTCTGTAGTATATTCAGAGGAACCTGTCCTGTAATTGATAATTCACGATGAACATCGCTTAAGTTTGTTTTTCAGTTTATATACATATATATATATATATAGTACTGAGCATAAAAACGGGTCAGGTAGTTGCACACAGTTTAAGTTTGAGTAAGTTCGCTATTCCCAATTGAATTGGAATGCCATTTTTATCTTGTATTTATAGTGCTGTAAAGAGTTGATTCGCATCATTACGATATTAATTGTGTTTTTAAAAAGTTTGTGAAAGTGCAATTATATAAATAAAATTTAATAAATAAATTCATGCGAAAGCGACGACTGATGTCACTAAAGGGAAAATAGCTTTATCGCAGTCGAATCAAAGCTCTAGATAAATATCGGGCATTGTGGGATTCGACGAGAATACTGTAGCAGATTCCATAAAAAAAAATCGAAAAAGGGGTTATTTGCCCGGCAAAATGGAACTGAACCTATTTCATTTTTAGTCAAAAAATACTACAATTTTATAATTAAAAAATATATCTTACTTTACACGAAACAAAATTCTTTCCTTTAGAAACATCAGTCTTGTGGTGAATGCAGTAATTAGCCATCATATTTGCATTCCAACGACCCTGATATCGCTCTTTCATAGGGCGAATATCCTGATGAAAGCGTTTTCCTTGTTTTTTTGCTTAAGTCGCTTAAATTTTCTGCGAAGCGGTCTAAATGGCTGAAGAGGAAGTGCATCTTGGTGTTCATGTTACATCCTAGTCTCTGGAAGTGCAACATGAGCTGCCTGCTGTACACTCTTAGCGTCACATTCTACTAAATTTAGTACCCGGTAAAAAGTTGTCACAACTTGCCCTGTCTTTTGTGAAAAAAATAGAACCATAATGCACAAATCTTTTACCGTTGAAAAATCTATGTTTTCATCAATATGAGTATAATTGAGTAAGGAGAATTACTGATTTCTTCTGTTAATGCTTCAAGCATTGTGGTGCCAAGCACAGTTTTTATAAACATCGAACACCTAGTACGACGAAGTTTAAGGTTTTTCAACGCATACGATGACAAATCTAGCTGCAGTAGTATATTTATTAAATTATCAACTGCTAATAAAGAAGAAGTGAGAAGAAGACTCACGCCTGAACAACGCCTGCAAATAGTGTAATTTTATATCGAAAATAATGGTTCTGTCCGGAATACGTATCGCGCACTACGTTCATTTTATCGTATGATGTGATGAAGCGCACACATTGAATGGCTACGTCAACAAACAAAACTGCCGCATTTGGAGTGCAGCTAATCCTCAAGTGTATGTCGAAACACCATTACATCCAGAAAAACTGACTTTTTAGTGCGCTTTATGGGCTGGTGGAATCATTGGTCCGTACTTGTTCAAAAACGATGATGGCCAGAACGTTACAGACAATGGTGATCGGTATAGAGCCATGATTACTAACTTTTTCATTCCTGAATTGAACAACCATGATGTCCAAGAGCTGTGGTTCCAACAAGACGGCGCAACATGTCACACAGCTCGTGCCACAATCGATTTATTGAAAGACACGTTTGGTGACCGCCTAATTTCACGTTTTGAACCTGTGAATTGGCCTCCAAGATCTTGTGATTTAACACCGCTAGACTACTTTCTGTGGGGTTATGTAAAGTCATTGGTCTATGCGCATAAGCCACAAACGCTAACAATTTGGAAAACCACATTCGCCGTGTACGGCCACAAAAGTTGGAAAAAGTCATCGAAAATTGGATGTCCAGATTGGACTACATCCGAGCCAGCCGTGGCGGTCATATGCCAAAAATCATATTTACAATAGAATGTAATGCCACAAGATTATCTTGCAGATAAATAAAATTCATGTCAATCGAATAATACATCGTTGTTTTATTGCAATTTAAAATTCTATACCTCTAAAAAAAAATTGCTTGGCGGCCTTATCACATTAATTGATTTCTTATGTTTGTCGGTACTACTAATTCGCACGACTTAGGCCAAACTTTCATTCGTACTGTCAGGTGCAATCCAACCTGCAATATATCAATAAATTGTAAATAACGGCATGTGAGTTGAGTAACTTTACAGGTGTAGCAATTCACAATAAGAAAAATGTTAATCATGACAAAACGAATGCCACATAATTTTTTATGGTAAATAACAATAAAAAACATATTGTGGAAGTCCTCATTCGAAGTACAACAAAAAGCGTGCATGAGCATTTTAAGTGTGGTTGCAGATTCTTTACCTAAATTAAATAAAAATAAAACGTTTAACGTTACTGAAGTAAGGCTGCAATTCGACCACGGCGATAATTCTATTGAAATTTTTTAAATTAATATTGTTTATCGTTATTATTTACAAGAAGGAACAAGAGGTTCATGTATAAAACGATACGGACTTCCTGGTCCTTTCTATAAATTTCAAAAATAAAATAAGATAACATTTATTTATACATTTTGCGTTTTGTATTATATTCATAACGGATTCGGCATACTAAACATAAATACATATACTCGTATGTCAATCCAATAGGAAAATAATGAAAATACTATGTCAAAAAAATGAGGAGGGTTGCCCAACATTTTGCTTCGTTCTGCTTTACTACGCCTTGACGTGAACGTAGTCTGTAATCTATTTTTCATATCTTTCAGTTAAAACAATTAATATTCAAAGTAAAAATACCCCTAAATATTTAACATCTCAAAAAAATCCCATTCGACTCTTTTAACCCCTAAGTTTAGGGGGGAAACCCCTAAGTTGGTAACACTGTACCCTGAATCGAAGAACTGTATCAACAAAAAACGAGGTCATCTTCCAGCACAATTCTGCGCCATGTGAAAGGGCCAACATCGTAAGTAAATTTTTTTTACAAATTCTACTACCAGTTTATCAATCTCATTCATAACTAATTTTGATCTTCTACCTTGTTTTTTTTTTGCAGGCTCGCAATTTGATAGCTGTAAAAAGAATAAAGCAGTTAGTGTAGCTTGAGAATAGCCCCGATTTGAACCCGATCGAAAAGCTGTGGGTAATTATGAAGAAACAGGTAACCATACAGAAGCCCAAGATCCAAAAAGAACTGGATTCCTTTCTTTTTAAGACGTGTTAGTGGAGTTTGGATTACAACAAAAGCTTATATCGTCAATGCAAGAATCAGGGCGGGATTAAGGCAAAAGGAGGCGCAACAATGTCATGATTGAGATATTTCCCAATAAATACAATAAAATTATGAAATAAAAACAAACAATCCTTGTGGTATTACTATTTTAATGAATTTTGTGATCAATATTGTACACTACTCCTAATTATATTATTTGACCAAATTAAAAAAAATTCCCTCCTGAAAAATTTAACATAAAAATTTGTTGGCTAATACATTATTTTATCGCTATTACAAATCCAAATAAACTCTCACTTTCATTTTTTTCCTTGTATGAATATTTTACCTTATAATTTAAATTTTCCTACTGATTGGTTTTTATGCCCACAGTATATATATAATTAAAAAAGTATTCAATGAAGTAATAAAGAAATGTTTGCATACTTTAGCACACTCAAACCCACATTAAATATAATATAAAAATTATTTAAAAGCCATTTATATATTTGTCAATAAAATGTTACTTTTTGGTAGGCGTAACACATCAGTTTTCGCCCCCAACATTTCGGTCATTATAATATAAATCAGAAATTATTTCTATTTAAATATTTATTCACCCTTTTGTGAGCAATAACTGATTTGATTTGTTTTAATTTTTCGTTCGAAACTTTTCATTATCTGCCAAATATTCACTTTTTTAGGTTGGCAACATCAAATTACTTCTTCAAAAATTAGTTTTAGTTCGTAATACCCAAAAATAGTTTGGTTGATATAAAGTTATTGCTTTAACTTCAATTTAATTGAGTGGAGTTGCAATGCCGCATTACCGGTATAAGGGATTATCGAGCAGATGTGGTCTCGTGCCACGTACTCTAATGATTCTGTCAAAATCTACAATACTTTTCAGAAGGCTACAGTTTCCCATTTATTTCAATTCAGTCAAAAGAGCAAACAATCTCTATTTTTGGTTTAGAATTGGATAATCCATGTTTTTTCTCACAGCCAATTATCTATTGCATGCTCATATAATATATTAAAAAGGTTAACCAAGAATATTGTGCACCGAATAGTGTTGCATTATATTAAAATAGAAAATTATAATTGCAATTAAAATATATGGTATATATGGGTAAAAATAAAAAACTATCAACTCTACCCACCTCAATTATAAAAATAAATGTTACATGTTATATTCTTAATTTGTTAGAGATTAAATATACGATTAGTAAAATATAAAATTCAAAATTTTATGTTGATTTTTTCTTTACAAAAATTTATTATTAATAATTTTAAAATTTTAACCTCAAGTTAAAATCTCTTTATCGTCTATAACGTTTTCGTCTTTAATCGTAAATAATTTCGCTGTGCTGAATAGTTTACTACAATGTAATTTAACATATTAAATCAATGTAATTTAACATATTACATCTTTTTTTTAATATTTTTCCTTTCATTTTATTTTCAAGTGGCTATGACTAGTGTTTAATTAAATTGATAGTGCTTAATAAAGTCTGAAATGTTTTGATTTCTTTACAGAAAAAGATTCACAGAATAGTAGGAGATCAGCAATAAAGCAAATTGCATCAGGACGTTTTGGAGTAACAGCAGCATATCTTGCAAATGCGGACGACCTTCAAATTAAAATGGCTCAGGGTGCCAAACCTGGAGAAGGTGGTGAACTCCCTGGGTATAAAGTTACGAAGGAAATAGCAAAAACTCGCCATTCTGTTCCTGGTGTTGGCCTTATTTCACCACCGCCACACCACGACATTTATTCAATTGAAGATTTAGCAGAGCTTATATATGACTTAAAATGCTCAAATCCGAATGCAAGAATAAGTGTTAAGTTAGTTTCTGAAGTCGGTGTTGGAGTAGTAGCATCCGGAGTTGCTAAGGTTATTATCAAAATACAAATAAATAATAATAAATGGATTGTTAAATAAAACAATGATTTTCTATTAAAAAAAAACTTCATATATTTGTAGGGTAAGGCAGAACATATTGTTATATCAGGGCATGATGGCGGAACTGGAGCAAGCTCTTGGACTGGTATTAAGCATGCTGGACTGCCATGGGAATTAGGGGTGGCTGAAACGCATCAAGTTCTTGTCCTAAACAATCTGCGTTCAAGGTAACTACATATTCAAATAAATATTATTTTTTATTAAACAAAACCAAATAAGGAGGTTATCAAAAATTGTACACTCAAATTACACTGGCCTACATTGGTTTCCTAGCCGTAGATAAGATCGATTTTTTTATTAATTTGTGCTTACAATTCATGAAACGATCAGTTGTTTTGTAAGATTTGCTCTCGTTTATTAATTATTATAATATCAGTTTGTTTTGAAAAGTCAGGACACAGTAAACATAGACAAAAATGTCAAAAACTTTTGTTATATCTCAATAAAACGCCCAAACCAACTTTGCACTTTTCAACTTTTCCATACCAAGTTTCGGAAATTTTCTACGAATGTATGGTAATTAAAACAGTACCCTTCCACGCCCATGCTTTCACATTTTTTAATCATTCTTAAATTAATCAACATAAATCCCTGAATTCATTTTCAGAAAATAACTTTGGCGTAGTTCTTTTACCCTTTCTTTCACTTCCGAATGTAGATTGTAGCGGTTTCTAATAATTCGATAATTGATCAAAATATAAGATATGCTATTATCATAAAAACCAGAGCACATTCAAAATTTTCATGATTAATCTTAAAATCGAATTCGTAATCTGGACGCTTAAAACCATCAAATTTGCTAAGATATCCAGGGCAACAAAAAAAATATATTGTTATTCGTTTGACAATTGAGAATTGAAGTTAAAAAATAATTTGGTGAATTTGGATAAATGTGGAAGAAGCTTATTTCGGAATAAGAGCGAAATAGGTGTGTATTAATCGAAGACACAAGTATGCTTGACACTAATACAGAAACTTAATTATAAAGTAAATAAAGGTTTCGGTTAGTTGAACAAAATTTAAGGTGTAAATGAACCAAAGCCAAACAAAAGATAAATAAATACGAGTCCCGTTCCCACGACAGTCGGGTCTACGTAACCGGAACGGACCCGGATTTATTCCGGCCAAGGACTGTCAACGGCAGAATTCTGCCGCTACAACAACAACATAACGACACGAGTCCATCGTTTTTTTGTTTCTGTTAATATAGCTTTATTTAATTAATCTGCTTGTTCAAAGGTAATAAAATCTTAAATCTATTTAAACCTAGGCAAGCTCAAGTTCACTGTAGGAACTAGGAGAGACAAGACATAACTTCAAACAGTGTTGGTTTAAAAAAAGGCCAAATTATATTTTATTAAATATTGATGTACGATATAAGATCAACTGGAGGGGCAGGTTAAATTTTAAGTGTCTGACTTAATTCTATAGTACAAGGAATGTAACTTCCTTATCAGCTTTGGTGGACTGAAAAGTCTAAACGTGATGCTATCTCCTCTATTTACAGCTACAAAAGGAATAAATGAAATTCGTATTTTAATAACGCATTGTTTCTTGATGAGAAAACACTGTTAATGCAAGCGATGGTTTCATAAAAGTTACGGCAAATCTATCCCAGCATTTTCAACGGTTAAGTACTGGTTTGCTGAATTTCCAGATAAACTAGCCAACGCAAATATTGCACCCCGTTCACGACAGAGACAAAACACAGTAACGCCAGAAAATAGAGCGAAAATAGTTCTTGAGATTATGTTGGGTGGTTAAATCTAAACGAGATAACATACTGTTTCATGTCATCGTATTTACTAATTTTCAAAAAAAAAAAGAAGGGATTAGGTTCAAATGTAACTGAATATTTTATATTCTCGCAATTTGCAAAGATCACTGGTGGAGGAATATATTCTGGTATTGCCAAATCGTATATTTGGAAATGTTGTTTAAGATTCAGCATTCATTTTTCAACCATTAGAATAATATTTTTAATCATATTAACTTATATTATAAGTCATTAATCTGAGTAACTGCTACTTCTTGCCCATTTGCGAGATATTTTATTTAAATCAATCTATATACATATATACGAGGTTTTTTTTAAAAAATACCGCGAATTTTGTATTTCTTAAGAAAGTGTTTATTTATTCGTGAATATCTCTTTTGTCCCCTTCAAATTAATCACCCACTTATGCTAGCGTTTTTTTTTAATCTTCAAAGCATTTAAAAAGGAATTTTTTATGATCTTATTCAGCTAAACTATAATATAGTGTCTACCAATAGGGATGACGTGATTTTGACTATCTAGTAAGGTGAAGGTGCTCTCGGTAAATTCTGTGAAGCAACCCAGCTTTGTTAAAGTTAACGAAGGTACGGTTGTCCACAGAAATAAAGTCGGGAGGTTTCTCGATCGAGATAGTTATGGACAGATGGTCGGATGCGAGGGTTAGCATAGGTAGCCAAGTTATACTATTTATCAACCCACCACTTGTGTTGGTAATTTTGTGCGAGCTATTACAAATGCCCATAATTCTGGTGGGGGCTTTGTCATTCATTGTGCAGAATGTCGAATCGGCTCTCTTCTCCGCCAGCTCCATCCCCCTACGATCGTTTGACAGGCAGGAGTGCCAAAAATCGTGGTGCGCGTTAAAGTCGCCAAGTACCAAACGGTTTTCACCACGAAGTAGCGCACTTATATTATATATATTGCTCAAAATTGTGCTAGGCCTCCACCATTATCTCGCTCGCGATCCTTACGTATAACGTTGAGACCAGCACAACTTAGAATATCTGACCGGCTCTTTAACTTGGTTTCTTGGACCGCAGCTATCGATACGCCTTCCCAACTCATGAATGCAACTATCTCCTCGATCTTACTACGTAGTCCATTGCATTTGAACTCTGGTAATCAAGTTTGTCTCGGATGTCTAGGAGTGATTCTGGGGGTGAGGGAGTGGAGTGTAGGTGGTGGTTGTTGCAGCTGTAGAACCCGCAGGGGGGGTTGTCGCCCTCTGGTGCTGTTTGGGAACGGTACCGTAGAAGGCTGCGGGGGCAGACCCCTGCAGCACACGCGTGGTACGCAGCCAATCATACCAATTAGTATAAGAATTGCACTTGACTGATGTAACGTTCCGACCGGAACAGACTGGTCGACATGGTGCAATTTGCACGGCTGTTGAATACAGATTAAGA